GCCGAGGCGCGCGCGGCCGTGCGCGGCGCCGCGGCGGGCGGCGGCGACGGGCGCGCGGCGCGTGCCTCTGGAGGAAGCGGCGGCAGCGCGGCGAGGCGGCCGAGGGCACGGTGGGACAAACGGTCGCCGATAATCGGCAGCTCCATCACCCTGCACCCAAGGGGGCCGAGCTCCCATTCCCACCAAGCAGAGTCGCCGCTGCAGCAGGCCGAGCTAACGCCGCAGCCCCCGCTGGCGGCGCAAGGGCTGCCGACACACCAGGCGGCGCAGCACGCCGCTGCTGGGCCGCCCCGCCACCGGGCCCCCGGCCCGGGGGCTACTGTGGACGGCGGACCCGGCGGCGGCGGCTGGTTTGCTGGCAGAGCGCTCGGGGCGATGGTGGCGGTGGCGGTGGTGCAGGGGCCCGCCCGATCATCGTCAGCGGACCAGGAGCGCACGCCGCCGCACGCGGTGCAGCGGCGCGGCCCCCTCAGCGCCGGCGCGCCGCTGTTTGCGACGCCGTCCCCCCCAGACGCCCCGCAGCAGGCCGCGGCGCAGCCGCCGGCGCAGCAGGCCGCGGAGGGCCCCCTGAGCCGCCACCGCCCGCTGCTGCCGCGCTGCCCAGGCGCCGCGCCGCGCGCGCCGGCGCCGGCGCCTGCGCAGGACGGCGGCGGCGGCGGCGGCGCCAACGCGGCCCCCCCTTGCACGCCGCTCGGGCGGGCGTTCGGGGGCGCGCACCTGCAGACCCCGAGCCGCGTCCCCGTGGCGGCGCCGCCGGCGTCGGTGGCGGTGGGGCGGGGGTACAAGCAGGCAGCAGACGGCGCGCAGGCGTCCGCGGTCACGCCAAGGCCAGGCGGGGGCACCCGGAGCCGCCTGCAGCGGCCGCTTGACGACGGTGACGCGTGCGGCGCGGCAGACGCACCCGCGACGCCGGGGCCAGGCGCGGCGGCGGGCGCGGGGGCGCCGGCAACGCCGGCGCGGCAGCATTTGCTGAGCGCGCGGCGCGTCGCGGTCGGCGGGTCGCGGCTGCCGCCGCTGGACGGCTTGGGGCCGCCTGCGACGCCGCTTGCTTTGGGTGGGTCTGTGGCGGGCGCGGCGCCGTTATGCACCTAATGGGGGCTGCAGTTGCTTGCCGGGCGGGGGCAAGATGAGGAAAGAGCGGCGGCGCCACCGGGCAAATTGTGCACGTCGCGACGCAACCATATGCCAAAGACACACCCCAAACAACCACTCTGTCGTTCCACCCAAACAACCCCAACGCACCCCCAGGCAGCGTCGCCCCCCGCATCCCCGCGGGCCACGGCCCCGCCCACGACGCCCCCCCGCCGCCCGCCGCCGCAGCGCCTGGCGCCGGCGCGTGCGGCGCGACTCCTCTGGCCAAGCCGCCGCGGCGGTGCTCGCCCGAGGAGGAGGCGGCAGACAGGGAGGCGCAGCAGCTGCTCGCGGAAGTCCAGCGGTCGGCGCTCATCCGGCGGCCAGGTGGGCGAGCGGGGATGGGTGGCACTTTGGGGTATTACGGTAGAACGAGGAAACCCTTGGCAGGCAGGAAGCGGCAGTCGGCACTAACGTGTCATCAACAAAAGCAGCTGCCTGGAGCCAGCAGCTGGCCACCAACTTGACCATCGGCCCGAGGTGGATGAGAATCCGCTCCCACAAAAAGCTCCAAACCCAGGGAGGTGGCTGCCTGGCTGGTGTTTGACCCTCAACCCTCAACCCCGGCTGGCTGCCTGGCCCGCCGACGGCCATCCCCCCAATCCTGCCGCCCCAGACCCCGCTGCGGCCGGCGCCCTGCTGGGCCCCGAGCGCGCCCGCCGCTGGCTCCGCGAGCGCCTCGCGCTGCGCGCCGCCCGCGCCGGCGGCGCCCCCTCCCCCGCGGCCGGCGCGCTCAGCGCCGGCGTGCTGCTCTTCGGCCCCCCGGGCTGCGGCAAGACGGAGGCCGCGTTTGCGCTTGCCGCGGAGGCGCGGGCGCGGATGCTGTTCGTGCCGGCGTCGGACGTCGCGCGCAACATGCAGCGGGGCTGCAAGTTTGTCCGCGCACTGTTCAAGGTGAGCCGCGCCCCTATCGTGGTGCGGGGCGATTCCGTTGTGTGTGATCGCATACCGAAGCCCTGCCTGGCCAGCGCGTTGCAGACCGCTCTCAGCTGGGCGCCAACGCGTCTGACCAGCCAAGGCGGCTCACCCAGGCTTGTGTTTGAGGATGCACCAAGCTGCCCTAATGGTTGTTGTGTTGTTGAGTTCAACCAGCGCAACTGACCCAGGGCTGCTCCTAATTGCCGCCGCGGCGCCCAGGCGGCGCCCCGTGAGCTGGGTGCCCACCTCACATGCATCCCAAACGCGCAGGTTGCGCGGCGGCACGCGCCGGCGGTGATCTGCTTCGACGACGTCGATCAGGCGTTCCCTATCCAATCCAAAGACGAGGACCCGTCGCTGACCCGGGCCCGGGTGGAGGTGGTCGTCCAGCTGAGGGAGCTGGCTGCAGCAGCTGCCTCCGCGGCAGCTTCCGCGGCGGCGGCCGGAGGAGGGGCGGAGAGGGGCGGTGTCGCGGCGGCGCCGGCGGCGGGCGCGGGTGCGATAGGAACGCCCGCGCGGCGATCAGGCGCGCGACCGGCTTGGAACGCGCCGCGCACAGAAGGGCAAGGCACGCCCAGGGGCGTCGCAGCGCCGCAGCAGCTGGGCAACGGCTCGACTGCGGCCGCACCGGCGGCTGCGGCGGGCGGCGGCGGGGGGCGCGAGGCGCTGGTGCAGCCGCTGTTTGTCATTATGACGTCATCAAGGCCCGAGGACCTGGACCCAGGGGTCGCGGCGGCGGCGGGGGCGCGGCTGCTGCTGCAGCCGCCGGGGCGGGAGACGCGTGAGGAGATAATCACCGCGCAGGTGTGATCTTGACTCAGCTGACCAGAGGTCCCTGCAGCACCAGAAGTGCTCCTTGTCCTCATTGTTTTGATCGCGTGCTAGCTTTGCATGCTGCTGGCTGCAGGATCGTTCGACAGCGTCTGCCCTTGTCTGCAGTGGTGTCAACAAGCTCGGCTGCAGATTACGCGGCCGGCTTTCAGGGCTCGACTAAACCCCAAAATCTAATGCCCCAATCAAACACGCACGCGGGCTCCCCACGCGACAGATGCTTGCTGCAGACGCCGCGCTGACGGCCGCTGATGTCGACTCCCTCGCAAGGTGCGGTCTTGAGACATCATGAACACTCGGAATCATATGCACGCGCCCTTTCATCATGCACCGCCCGCCTCACCGTCCTACAAACGGCTCACCAGATTGCAGCGCTGCTGTGGCCCGCCCCTGAGCATGTCCCACTCCTGCCTGTGAACGTGCGTGTGCTCGTGCCTGTTTACGCCGCTTGGTGGTGACGCCACCCGCTCTAGCATCACCCAATCTGACGTCATGCAATCTAACGTCACCCAATCTGACATCACCCAATCCCCAAACCCCACTGTCTCCAAGGGGCACTGACGGATTCAGCTGCAGCGACCTGCTGCGACTCTGCAAAGAGGCGGCGGCCGGGCCCGTGAGCGAGGCCGCCGCGGCTGCCAAGGAGGCCGCAGCAGCCGCCGCGGCGGCCTGCGACAAGCGGAAAGCCGCATCTCGCACGCGGACTGCGGCCGCGCGGGCGCGGGGCAGCGGCGCGGGCGCCAGCCCGCGCACGCCGGCGGCGGCGGCGGCGGCGG